TTTTTTTCGTGTTTTTTTGAACATTTAGGGTGGGTATTGTATAAGGCTTCAAAAAAGTAGGGAGAATGAAGGTTGCACAAGATGGCCATCATTTGAGCGTACTATTCGTCTCGTCATGTGAAAAGTGCAGAACTTCTACCCGAACGGCGTGTCGCGCTCGCCGCACGGGACCGCGCGCTATGAAGGGAAAGATTTGGATTTCCAATGAAAGGATGCGGAGATTTGCCGCGTAACCACTGCCGCAAGCCGTGGGAATTCAGGGAGAAGTTGCGTTACCCCAAGAACAAGGCGAGCAAACTCTACGATCAACGTAATCCGTTGCTGACTGGCCTCACTTAAGTGTTTTCAAAAAAAAAAAAAAAACTAAAAGAAAGTACGAGTTAAGAGGGGCAAAGGCAGCGAAACCAGGTGCTCCAATCGAAGCAGAAAAATTCTGTTCGATTTTTTGTAGTAGAGTTTATCAGATGACGTGAAAAATGGCTAATGAGAAACTCTTACGATGTGTAAAGGGGATCGTTGGATGGAAGTAGTATACGGCAAGCGGGAAACGGGGAGGGCAGTAGATTTACTCAAATATGACTAACAATAAGTCAAGCTGACGGAGCATGCGGCTATTGAAAAATTTTTTGAAGCAAAAACAAAGAAAACCGGTAGCTAAATCAAAAAATCGAATGGCTTTCATACCTGCAAGGTCCAAGAGCGACGGCATGCCGGCTGCAGTAGAGGTAACTGAGAGAAATCGAGAGAACCTCAACTCTGCACAGCTTTGAGACGGCGCACATTCATCTACCTTTCATCGTTCTTTGCAAGGCTATGAGAGAGCGAAATCAATCAGAAAGTTTGAATCGCATCGAAAAAATGAGAGAAATTCATTTCTTCCCCGGTACATGAAACAAGTAAACAAGTGCTACCTGGATAATGAGGAGCCACTAGACAAGTATCTTGTGGATATTGTTATGGTACTTCTAAAGCTAAAAAGCACAATAAATCTTCAAGCTAAATAATAAATAAATAGTGATAGGTAATAATAAATCTCTACGTGAAGATTCATTTTTGCGATATTATTTAGCGGCGATTTATGGGTAAAGATGTTTATCTGTTCATTTATCCATTCATTTGTTCAATTATACGTTGTATAACACAATGTTGAAGAAGAATCAACACATTAGTACTGCCCTCCTGATGAATCTTCGATATTCGAAAGGAGCGGCACTGCTCAGCGATGCGGGACGTTCTAGGGAGGAGTAGGGACTATAAACGTGGGAGCAACGGTATGAAATCCAGAGATCCATCAAAAGGGGCTGGTACTGCACACATGCGCATGCACAAATAGTTTCAGTGAGTATTAATGAGCTTGCACGAGATGACCCTCATTATGAAGTGTTTGCAAGTGTCTTCGTATTACCTTGAAGGAAATCATATGTCTGACGGAGTCCAATTCGAGATCAGACGCGACTTTAGACTAGAAGCAGAGGTTGTGACAGTTTGAAAAAATGAAGTCTGACGCAGTCTGAGATCAACCTCAAGAACATGGCCTATGGTAAGGCCGGGCCACTAAGCAGTCTTCCATCAAAGTTCGATGTTCTGGTTACTGAGTTCGAATGAATAGAATCTGATTTATTCTTTACAAAGGATCAGTTGGTATTGAGCGCGTCTAGGAGGATTTAAACAATAAAT